AAACATGCTTGACACTATACCATAATCCCCTGGAACATCTATTAGAAACATGCTTGACACTATACCATAATACCCTGGAACATCCACTAGAATCATGTTTGACACTACACTATAATCCACTGGAACATCCATAAGGAACATGCTAGACACTATACTACAATCCCCTGGAACATCCACTAGGAACATGCTTGACACTATACCATAATCCCCTGGAACATCTATTAGAAACATGCTTGACACTATACCATAATACCCTGGAACATCCACTAGAATCATGTTTGACACTACACTATAATCCACTGGAACATCCATAAGGAACATGCTAGACACTATACTATAATCCCCTGGAACATCCACTAGGAACATGCTAGACACTGGGGATTATAGTATAGTGTCAAGCATGTTCCTAGTGGATGTTCCAGGGGATTATAGTATCCCAGTGGATGTTCCAGGGGATTATGGTATAGTGTCAAACATATTCCTAGTGATTGTTCCAGGGGATTAGAGTATAGTGTTAAACATATTCCTAGTGATTGTTCCAGGGGATTATGATATAGTGTCAAGCATGTTTCCAGTGAATGTTCCAGGGGATTATAGTATAGTGTCTAGCATGTTCCTGGTGGATGTTCCAGGGGATTATGGTATAGTGTCAAACATATTCGTAGTGATTGTTCCAGGGGATTATAGTATAGTGTTAAACATATTCCTAGTGATTGTTCCAGGCGATTATAGTATAGTGTCAAGCATGTTCCTAGTGATTGTTCCAGGGGATTATAGTATAGTGTCTAGCATGTTCCTAGTGAATGTTCCAGGGGATTATGGTATAGTGTTAAACATATTCCCCATGATTGTTCCAGGGGATTATAGTATAGTGTCTAGCATGTTCCTAGTGGATGTTCCAGGGGATTGTGGTATAGTGTTAAACATATTCCTAGTGATTATTCCAGGGGATTATGGTATAGTGTTAAACATCTTCCTAGTGACTGTTCCAGGGGATTATAGTATAGTGTCTAGCATGTTCCTAGTGGATGTTCCAGGGGATTATGGTATAGTGTCAAGCATGTTCCTAGTGGATGTTCCAGGGGATTATGGTATAGTGTCAAGCATGTTCCTAGTGGGTGTTCCACCCCTGGAACATCCACTAGGAACATGCTTGTCACAATACCATAATCCCCTGGAACATCCACTAGGAACATTCTAGACACTATACTACAATCCCCTGGAACATCCACTAGGAACATTCTAGACACTATACTACAATCACTTGGAACATCCACTAGGAACATGCTAGACACTATACTATAATCCCCTGGAACATCCACTAGGAACATGCTTGACACTATACCATAATCCCCTGGAACATCCACTAGGAACATGCTTGTCACTATACTATAATCCCCTGGAACATCCACTAGGAACATGCTTGACACTATACCATAATCCCCTGGAACATCCACTAGGAACATGCTAGACACTATACTATAATCCCCTGGAACATCCACTAGGAACATGCTTGACACTATACCATAATCCCCTGGAACATCCACTAGGAACATGCTAGACACTATACTATAATCCCCTGGAACAT